TTCTGTACAATTACCACCATGACCAATAATAATCTTCTGTCCTTATTCTTTAATGAAAAAGTCGATAAGTTTTACAAAGCCGAAATAGTCATCTTCAAGTCCTAAGCAATTCACCTCTTGAATCCTTTTTAAATTTTGAATGGCAAAATGAGTAGCGCACTCGGAAGTTTCGTCAGCTCTCCACATATCTTTATCAGTTTTCAAAGACTAATCATGCACTCTTCAACTTTGAACTCTTCAACTTTCAAAGACGTCGTCGTGGCAAGAGGTAGTTTTCTTAAGTTTCCAACTCAAATCACGTCCCTCCTACTATACTCCTCAAAAACTTTGTTGCCGAATAAACACGTTTCTCGATTTCACGCGAGCGCAAAAGCGTTACCACTGACTAGTAGACGCAAATTACCTATGGGCATTTCTACTTTGCTTCTCCTTTTAACTGAAAACTAGAACTCCGCTAACAACGATTATAGTGCTCGTGATCAAATGCTGCAGCCAAAATAAACTTCTTCCTGCAATAGCCGCAATAACCAGAAATATATTCTCCAATCATCCGTATGTCATCCATTAAGAAGTAAAAAATCTTCCAATTTGAGACGTCTGTTGCATCTAATGAACTGCAATTCTAAATTTTACCGACATATTTTTGATGTAATCAGCCTTTTAATTACAGTTCTTGCAACCAGGTCGTTGACGAACAGCTTTGATGCGGAGTATCGGGACGTAAAGCAGCATACAAGCATATTCGGTATGTAGATCAGAGACCACTAAACCAGTAGAAAAAAAAAAAAAACGTCCAACAAGCGTCTTTGCCTTTTCACTCTTAAGAAACTGGATTGACTTCTCTCTATGAGCTTGCAACATTTCCACATTAACAAGAAGCATACGTCAAAAAAAACTTCTTGTGCTCCCAAAAAATTCCTCACGCTATCCATCAACTAACCTGACAAACAAACCTGATCATAGGATTCCCCACTTTTTAAAGACCTCGTCCAAGTTAGTTTCATAAAACAGTTTCTACAATCCAGAGTCTAATTAACAGGTTTAGAAATGGGAAAGAAGTACCAAAAGAAGAACAAATTTATATATATACATGCTCCAAAACAGTAATTGCTAACTTGTTACTCGTCGAAGAGAAGAACACAAGTCGCCTTATATCCTCAACATCAGCATCCAACTTTATATGTCTTAGTTCATCTTCTAAGGTAAAACTGTTTGTAAGTCTTGCATTCACAAAAATGTGCCAATAGAACTTGGGTCTAATGTAAGGTTGATAACGGATTCGTTTGTGCCTGAAAGTTGTCATTTATCACATATTTTTTCTTTTGGACATTGAAAAAAAGGAATAAGGAGAAATTTACTTGCTAGCGCCCTGACAACCTGAAACAGAAGGCTGACAGGCTATCGGATTCGGTGCTTGACATGTCTGGTCCTTAACAACTTTCTGGTTGCATGAGCTTCTATTTGATTTCCTCTCAGCTCTTTTTAATCTTTTCTTATCATTCACTCCCAATGTCAATCTTTCAAGATCCACTAACGTCTCTTCAAAGCTAAAGATAGTTTCAATTCTACGTCTCGCCTCCTCCAAATTACTGCTTCTCCTGGTACCCCCTCCAGTTTTGTCAGCGTTCTGTGGTGGCGAAAAACAAGAAACAATCAAAGTATCCGAGTCTGGTATCTCCGTTTTCTGTTTATCAGTCATTTTATATTCCAGCTGAAAAATGCTTAATACTGCGCACTTAAAAATAATGGCTAAAGGCACCACAAGGGAAATAATCCATTAATCATCAAATGTTCTAAACTTCGAAAAGAAATAAATAAGCTGAAAAAAATCTTGTCCGGAAATAAAGGAGGATTATGACTGAAACGTGACTACTGCATATTATCGATACTTTCCAAATTAGAATAAAACCTACTGTCTGAAAAGAAAATAGTAGAAAAATAAAATATTTCAAAGAAAAATCCTGCTAAAAAATTAAGCGCAATGTAAAATTCCTTCGTAAACATACACTGACAGTTGCGGGTAAATATCACATGATGTTATGTTTCAGATATTGCCACATATGATGATAAAAAATTTTTAACAATGAGCAACATAAAAATAACAAAACAAAAACCATAATGTTGACGAATAATTCAAAAAATAAAGAAAAATTAATTAATTAATTAAATAAACAAATATTGTAACGGTATATGTCCAAGCAGTTTTAAATTAAACTACCACCTCCTAACTACTTGGCCTCAAGAAGTGACACTGAAGAAGAGCAAACAAAGTCAAACGCTTAATCAACACAAAACTCAAAAGTACTTTTTGCTGCAAAGTTGGTTGACCCGTAATCAGCCAAACTAGAAAAGTAAAAGATCAAAACAAACGAAAGGAAACGCAAATCTTTCCGAATTCTAAAAATCTCCACCCTTTACTCAGCTGACTGGCGAGGCTTTGTTTGTAACACCAAACAACACAAGCGAATCACCAGAATATGGTCCTCCTGCTTCCACTATGCGATACGTTCAATAGTCCGATCAGCAACTGCAACTGCAACGACAGCAGCTCCAGTAGCAGCAGTTAGTCAGCGAGCCACCCACCCAGCCAGCGAGCCAGCCAGTCAGCCACTCAGCCAGCCAATACACTGTCTAATGGAGTATTTTGCGTAAATAAAATATAAGTTGGTAAATTGCCAGGAATAATTTACAACATATAACAACGGAATAATTAATGGAACAGCGTTTTTTTTTTTTTTTAAAGGGAAACGAAAACCTTTGAAAAGAATATTTTAATCAGTGAGCTTTTGAAAAAAAAAAAACATAAATTTAATGATAATAATAATGTTGAAAATTGCTTTTGAGACATTTCTGATGATTACTGACAAAAGGAAGAAAGAATAGTTGATGAGAATAATAAAATTTTTCATCACTTAAAAATTTTAAACTTTTTCTTTCTTTTTTGATTAATGAGTCAAATTCCTCCAGAAGAAAAAAATCGGAACCTTAATATAACCAAAAAGAGAAAGAGCAGAAAAAGAACAAAATGTCAATTTTCAGTTTCTTGAAACAGTCCAAAGTTTTTTGGAATGTTAAAACCGATTCTTTCTCAAAATACGCTCACCAGTCTTTTTGCATTGTTCAATTTAGCCAAATGAACAATAAAGCTGTTGTTTTGCAGAAGAGAATGCAGTCAAATGCAACAGGCTCCTTGCCCTGTTGTCTTCTTTTTTCCTCCTCTCACCTTCCCCCAGCCTGTCCGAACCATTTCTAAATATGATAAAAGCAATTTGAGATAAATTGCTATAATCCATCTTCTGTTAAAAAAAATAGCTCAAAAAACTATTTTTGTGCTAAAATTTTTCATCCAAAAAATTAGAAAAAAAAACTAGGATATTTTTGGTAGCTTAATGAACTACTTTTTGCCATACCTTAAAATTCGGCCACCATTAACGTTGGAAGTAAGCAAAAAGAAGAAGAAACTCCAGAACAATTTTTTGCTTTTGTTTAGCTGTTGGAAAAAATAAACAGCTTGTTTCTTATTTATTTATTTTTTCTAATTGTTAAAAATGTGATCTTTTAGATTAAGAGTTTTCTTGTTGGCTTTTTTTGCCTTTTTTCAATTACTATTGTACATTGTAGTTTTATTTTAGTAATTTTTTTCATCAATGTATTATCAAATAGCAAAAGCGTATTATTTGTCATTGAACTGACCGTCAACTCTTTTTGAAAAGTTTATAGTTGTCAGAAGCAAGAAAAAAAAAGATGATGTTTTGCTGGGACAATTCTAATCAGTTTATTATTTTTTTGGGTATTTACTGGAAAGTATCAAGAAACATAACATATCATCGGCTGCAAACACGTAATATATCAGTCCTATTTGTTACTTTTCTTTTTTTTCTCATTCGTCCTGACAAAATTTCACTTCCTCTACATTACTGTTTCAAGCAGCACCATTTTCCAATCTTTTTTATTTTATCAACATTTCCAATGCAAAATCAAAATCAAAAGTGAAAAATAAACAGAAAAAAAGTATGCAATGTGGAGCAGAAAACTGATATTATTCATCGTCGTCATCAACGACAACGACAACAATAAAAATAGACAAACAAGTAATATGTCAGGTAAAAAGTGATTATATGTTTCAAAATCGTACAATTTACAGGTAAAAATTTAGTGAAGAAAAAGTCTGTTTTTAATAATATTTTTAGGTAAAATACCTGATTCTATGTGTGCGCTTATCTGTGTCTCAAAGCTCAAAAGTTTAAATGAGCGCAGAGAAAAGAAGAAGTTTCTTATCAAAGTTTTTTTTGCCTTTGCTTTTGCTATCATCAAACAAAAATATGACAAGATGACAGAATGTCCTATGACCAAATGTAACTGCTAAACTAATCTTTGAAATACAACAACAATAAATATTCATTTACAATTGTTTTTTCATGAAGAAATCTAAAGAAAGAATCTAAAAGATCAGAAAAGATACTGTTGCAATAAGTTAAGCATTTTATAGCTTATAAACAAGAAAAAAAAAAGTAAGGTACTGGTAATTTACTGAAAAGATACTGAAAAAGATACTGAAAAAAAGAGATGATACATGTAAACTTTTCTGCAACTGCTGATTCCATCAGTTTATCCCCAGTCTGTGTCTGTCGGTAACCGTACTGCTGCAATGGAACTTTTTTTTGCTGCAGCTGTTGGTTTGATTTGACCGTAAAACAAGTTTGATGATCCATTGTCTTTTTTTTTTTTTTGTTCTAAACTTCTTCTCAGTTGACAACAATTAATTTATTAATTTGGTTGTGTTAAGAAAAAAAAAAAACAAAAAAGAATTCTCTTATTTTTTGTTGCAAAAAAAAATTTTTTTTTTT